CGGTTTCATCCAGGAGAGGGTGACCTCATTGCTGTCAACGTCATTCACCTCAAGACCACTTGGAGCACCAGGCGGCACTGAATACAACAAAACTTATTACAAAGTGAATTTATTGAATCCATTATCTTGCAATTGTAAACTAATACCTATTTTTAATGGATCCCAGTCAATACTAGTTCACAAAGTTAACGGTTTAACTATGATACCTTTATGTTTAAAGAGTGGGGTTTGCGATAGACTTACCTTCACGTGGTGAACCCTGGGCAACGTATACTCATACAGCAAAAAATTCTATTAACTGGCAGTTGACTTCTGACCTCAGACTACCATTACCCCACTGTATGCCATATTAAAACACTTCCACATTACTCATCATTCCTCTTCTCCGCCTTTTTGTCGGTCTGTCTCTTTACATCTTCAATCACTCCTCTGTTCCCAATCTCAACTGTTTTTTTCACTTTGTCTGTTCCTCCTCCCCATGAAATCCAAAGTCAACTAAAGGGCTGATGATAACTATCAAAACGTCTACCATTTGATATAAATAAACGAATGTTTAAAGAGTTTGAAAAATTTGCACTTGGATAGGCCAAATTGGTTGACTTACTACGAGTTCGCTTTCTATGAAAAAGACTGATTTGCATAACTTAAAAATAGGGCATTCAATGCAATATTTAACAATTATTTTCCAAAAATAAATTAATAGAATTTTCCAGAACACAAAACCCACCAACAGGACTCTCAGCGGTGATTGGAGTTTCTGATTCAAGAGGTTCGCTCTGTCCATTTTCATTGACAGCTTTGACACGAAATTTGTAGCGTTTACCCTCATCTAAATTTTGAACGTCGAATTCATTTCCACGAACATAGCTGCTCACGGGGGTCCAGTTACCAGTTGTAGCATCGCATTTCTCCACAATGTAGTTTGTGACTGGAGATCCTCCATTATCCTAAAGCAATGGTGCACATTTGTGAGATGCATAAGAAATAGTGACTTTTCTTGGACAAATCAATGCAAACTTTACCTTGGGAGGTTTCCACTTTAACGTACAACCATCCGCGTTGACATTGGAAACTTCTAAAGGACCCATTGGAGGTTCTGGAGGGCCCCTAATGTTTACACTAAGGCTAACCTGGTCCTTTCCCTTTTCATTTTCAAGCACAACGTCGTATTTTCCAGAGTCCTCCTTTTCAGCCTTTAAATCAGTGATAATAACCTCGTCAGGGGTGACCTCCAACACGAAACGGCCACTTGGAAGAGGAATAGGCTTTCCATCCTTCAGTAGAGTAACCGTATCTGGAGGCGTTCCGGTGTAAGGAATGTGCATTTTGAAGGGTTCACCCAGTTTCGCATTGATGTCTTTCTTAAGGTCACCAATTTTCGGTGCCGCTTATCAAAAATAAGGAAAATGATGATATTTCCAATTTTCACAATGTATCTTAGTGCTGTCAGTGTATTAACTTACATGGTGGTTCACGAATTTTCACGTTTTCGGTAGGTTCACTAGGCTCACCAGGTCCAGCAGCATTAATGGGAACAACTCGGAACTGGAATTCTTTGTTTGTTGGCAAATTTCGAAGAGTTGTATTGAGTCCAGTAATAGTTCCAGGATGTGCTCTGAAAGGAATAAGAATATAATTTGATTGTAGGTTCGAACTTTGAAAATATATGCGCATGTTTTCCTACCTTGCCCAATTTTTCTCGCCTTTTTGTCGCTTTTCCAGAATGTAGCCAGTAACTGGCCCTTTCGTTGGAGGATCCCATGAGAGTGAAACCGAATTTTCCGTTGTATTGTCAACACTTGGAGCAGACATTCCAGATGGTGGATCTATATATTTTCTTGCAGTGAGTCAGATCAGTATATTTAATGAGGCAGCACAGAAGGACTAATCGAACTCACCGAATGGGTGTTTGGCTTTAATCGCCTTATCAGTAGTAAGTGGCTCAGAGAGACCCATGATATTCTCTGCCATAACGCGAAATTCGTATTCCTTGCCTTCTTCCAGACCACGTACAGTTGCTGTTGGTGTCTTAATGAATGCACTAACCTTTTGCCACCTACAAATTTTTGCATAATTGCCAAATGTATGGCGGAATAAAAGCAATTATGCAAGTAAATACTTACTCTCCAGCGCCTTTCGGTCGCTTCTCAAGGATATAATTAGTGATTGGTTCTCCTCCATTATCTTCTGGTGGTCTCCAGCTCAATGTGATCTCATCAGCCTTCACGTCTATCGCCTCAAGAGGTCCGGTTGGCATTGCAGGAACGTCTTTTTTTAAAACAGTTAAGACGAATAAAAAAATTACACTAAGTGACTATGTTAATGGCACTTACCAATAACAACCACTTTGCAAGATGAGGTAATCTGTCCGAGATCATTTTTCAATATCACTTGCCATTCACCGGAATCAGACCGCGATGCTTTTGGTACTCGAAGCACTGAAGTTCCTCCAGGCTCCTCCTCTAGCGGAGACATTGTTGTAGAACTTGAACGCGGTTGCGGTTCTGTTGTCATAATGATTTTCCTATCTCCTTCAGATGACAATTGGTTACCGTTTAGAATCCAAGTGGCCGTCGGTGGTGGATGACCGAACCAGGCAATCGGGAGCCTGAGTTCTTGACCAGCCTTGATGGTAACGTCTTGAAGACCACCAACACCAGTTCCGGGACCACCCTGTACACCATCAGCAGGAGTCATAATGCGAGGAGGCGCAGCCTGATTCTCTGCGACAACGGGTGCTGTTGGTCGGCTGGGTTCACCCTCACCCTCCTCATTCACAGCTCGAACGCGATACTGAGCCTTCTCGCCCTCCTTCATGGGAATAAAGGCCTGAGGTTCAGTCGTGCTCTTTACGGGGATCCACTCACCACTCTCATTCAATTTTTCAACGACGTAACCAGTAACTGGTGTACCACCGTCATGCCGTGGTTTTTTCCAAGATAATTTTACTCCATTTTTATTTACTTTGTCCACATTAAGACCCTCGGGAGCCCCTGCTGGAGCTTAATTAAAACGGATTCCCTTTTTAAAGATGACAGTGGAAGGGGAGACCACAAAAGAAAAGATAGTGCTTACTCGTCTTATCTTTGACCACTTGGGGTTGAGTTGAACGAGAGAATTCACCAGGCCCCCCATCGTTGACAGCAGCTACTCTAAATTCGACTTCCTTTCCGAATGGTAGATTGGAAATTGTAGCCTCGGTTCCTGAGACGAGATCTGGCAACGCCTTCGTCCACTCGCCCTTACCAATGCGTTTCTCCACCAGATAACCTAGATGCAATCTCACTCAATTGAACTCCAAATGAAAAGCCAAAATAACAAAAATGCCCTTCATACCTTTAATGGGATTACCGCCATCACTTTCTGGGGGTTTCCAAGCAATGGAAACTGAGCTGCGATCATAGTCAACCACTTTTACAGAGTTTGGAGCGTCCGGTACGTCTAAATTTCCCAGAAATCAGTCAATCGTTAGTTTTTGCTTATAAGTATCTCTAAATATTCATAATCACTTACCGAACGGGTTCTTAGCAATAACAGATGTTAACGTTTCCGCCGGTTCAGATTTTCCGATCGCATTAACGGCAGCAACACGGAAAAGATACCTCTTTCCCTCTACTAAGTCCTCAACCTTGACAGAATTATCGCGAATTGGCGCTCGAACTGGGGTCCATGTTCCAAACGCTTCTTCACATTTCTCCACAACGTAATCTGGAAAAGATAAATGGTAATCAGATTAAAGGGAAAAGTTAAGTGTGAATCAAGATTAAATCATTTCAAACTTACCTATAACTTGACTTCCACCATCATTCTTTGGTGGCTTCCATTTCAGCACACATGAATTCGCTGTAACATCTGTTGGTGTTACATCTTCGGGAGAATCTGGTTTGCCTGGTAAAATAAAATGTACATTCACGAACACACACACACATTCTTATATATGCATATATATAGAAGGAAACGCTTACTCTTCTTCTTGGCAACTTTAACAATTTCAGTTGGAATGCTGGGTTCACCAGGTCCAGCTGCATTGACTGCTCGAACTCGGAACTCGTAATCAGCATTTTCAGAAAGTCCTTCAATCTTTGCTGATGTACCAGAAACTGGCTTTCCATCAGTAGTGGCAGGCTCCCATTCACTTGCTCCAATTTGTTTCTTTTCAACGACATAGCCAGTAATGCGGGCCCCTCCATCCTTGAGAGGTGGAGCCCATTCCAAATCTACATGGTCGCTGTCTACATCTTTCACAGCAGGAACTCCAGGTGCATCAGGGATATCTAAAATTTACGTTGAATTGAGAAACTCATAAATTTATTTCCTCTAGTATCTGATTGTCAGGTATTAGGTTTGTGGGACAAGTTATCGCTGTGTGCGTCATTGTATGCCTGCATGTCTGCTCGCCAGGATTGGGAGGTGCGTCCGTACAACTCTGTGTGTAGCGACCGTACAAACAGTGACCAATCATTAACCTCTGTTTAACCTAATCCCCCATCCTGATCATGAGTAGCTCCCTGCGTGTAAACATTATCCACAATATACGTCCTGAATGAATGTGCTCCGTGCTACACGCTGTTTCCTTTATAGTTGGGCTATAGCTTAGCTGGTTCTGGGAGTTTAGCTAGATGTAGGAGGATCTGCCTTAGAGATTTCTGAGTCAGTCAGGCTTTACTAAGGTAGCAGTC